AGCGAGGGCTGCAGTGACTCCTTTGAGTATGCCAATGAGGAGGAGGAAGATGATGAAGTCAAGGTCTGAACAGTCACAGTGTCCCAGGGTCTTGGAATGCCCTTCCTCCTTCGGAGAGATGCAAGCTCTTTCGGGGCCGGCAGCCCTCATGAGCTGACACCAGACTGCCAGGTGAACTCATGACAGAGTCGTGTTTCTTTGGAGTTGTGCAGGGCTGGGATGGGGTGGGGAGAGGGGGCAGGAGGAATCTGGTGACCCTAAGAGCTCCTAGGGCAAAGATTTGCTAGGGATGGAGGCAGGGAGAGCAGGTGGACAGAAACGTAAGGACAGATGCCTGGGCAGGAGCATGAGCCCAGGGTGGTATTTAAGCAGGGGTGTTGGACTGGAACTAGGGGGCACCTCACCCTCCTGCCCCATCAGCCCCACCCCCTCCTCCCACAGCCTGCGCCATGCTTGCAGTGGCTCTGGCAAAGAAAGGGTGGTGGCACAGAGCCAGTGGCTCTCTGCTTCTGGGAGAAATGTCACCTTTCTGTGCTGCCGCTGCCCAGGATACAATACTGGCCAGTTAGACCTCTGCAGGTGAGCTCTGGCTTCCCCAGGGAGCTGGTGGTGTCCAGGGCTGCTGTGAGGCGATCAGGAATCTCACACGCCCCTTTCCCTCACACCTCCATCATCGTCAGAAGCCAGGCACCAGCCCAAGGGGCTGGCAAAGGAATTGTCCTGAAAAATCAAAGAAAGTCCAAGCCCCCAACAAGAAAATGACCAAGTGACTCCAGAGGGAAGTGGGGATTAAACCAAGAGCAGATCAGGAGAGCCAGGGCCTGCACCCCTGTACAGCCACAGCTTTTGGCCTGAGGCCAGCACATTCCCTGAGATATGGAAGTCACGAAGGACCTCGGAGTCGCCATACTGATACAAAGTGAATCAGGAGGCTGCCTTTCTCCAGGGCTGGGGCTGTCTGCCTTTGCACTTCTCCTAGTCCAAAGAGCAAAATCCTGGGCCTGGGAACCGAGCCCAGTTCTGCGATGCAGAACCACAGAGCTCCGTCCCCAGGGGGCTGGGCTGGACTCACATTGCTCTAGCCCTCTCCAGCTCTGCTGATGTCACTTGGGACCCAACCCCATGAGGGAAGGCAATCCAGTTCTTATGGGTCTACACCCACAGCTCCTCCCATGTGGGCTCTCCAGTCCTGTCCTTGCACTTCGCAGAACTGGACAGGAATCCAGTGCTGGATTTTCTCCTCCTCCTAGGGGTTGCCCCAGAGTCCATTTCATAGCACAGGAATCTAGTTCCAGTTCCTCTCCTTCACCCCAGTGAACTAGGAGTCGGATGGCATTGTCCTCCCATCTGATTCAAAGCCTGCATATGCCATTGCCTTAGACAGTGGGACCCCTGGGTAGGATCCTTCTTGTGCCCAGCAGAAATCTCCCACCCTATTGCCCTCCTTGCTTGATCTGCTGCTCAGAGGAAGGGCAGACATGTCCCATCTCCTAGATGTAAGCTAGAATCTGGCCACAGGCCCAGCTACTGCACTATGCAGATTTTGAGAGGAGCTCCTAACCCCTCATCCCATCATGGCAACCTCTGTTCCTGTTGCACTGTCTTCAGGGAGACGCTCAGAGCAGTGACATAGGAGCTCAGTGAGGGGGATATGCAGACATCAGTGGCTTTGGGGCAGAATTCAGCACAGCTAGGGCAAATCACGCCATGGCCCTGATCGGGGGCATGAACAAGACCTGCAGAGCAGGTGCATCATGTACTGCATCTGACACACACAGAAATCAGGAGGAGCTGCCTTCTCAGGTCCTGCCTTTCCCCTCCTCCCAATCCTGTCCTCCAGGACAGCCCCATCTAGCATAATCCTCAGGACTTTGCCTCCTTCAGAACAACCCCAGTATCACTAACCCTGAGCTTTCAAAATCAGGCCTCAGCGTCCCATCCCCAAAGCATCATAAGATCAGCTTAACAATGAGGAGGTTTTACAAGCGCTCGATGGGGAGTAGTCTTTATTCATCTCCTGGTTCTGGACACTTGAGGGGTTGGTCCCTTTTCAAGGTTTTCCCCTCACCCAAGGACAGCTAGAAACTATCATCTTTGGTGTAATAGCAGCTGAGCTTCTTAGGTTGCCCCCTGAATCTGGTGGCTGGGATGCTACAGGAAAATACCAACTATTGTGAGAATTGCTATAAAACCACCAGAGCTGGCCACACTACAACCCAGCTAACCAGGTTTAAGCAATGAGGTGCCAGGGTCCCTGACCCCGCACTGTCCCCACCCATTCCCTAGCATGAGGGACACCCTCTTAAATGTAATATGCCCTTGCACCACCACCCCTCTCCCCACACACACACTTAGAACAAGAAGATTTTCTCTTTGCTACAGTAACCAGTTTAGCCAGTTGAAATCTGGGCTGTCTTGTACCTTCCATCTGCCCCAGGGACTCCCTCTTCTCCCCCCGCCTCTCCCTCCCCACCATGCTTTTTGGTGTCCCTTCTTCCCAGGGTGGCTGGTCTCCCTGCTTCTGGTGTCCCCAGCTGGGCATCTCCGTTGTTGCAATGTGGCCTCTTTGGAACGAGCCACTCCCCACGCAGTCCCGCGTGCTAAGTCACTCGCACAGAGAGGCCTTTGTGCCCAGGCATGGAGCAGACATGATTGGGGGGTGAGGTAATTTCACTGTCCTGCACAGCACAGCCGTTGTTCTTCCCAGGGACCAGGAGGCGGTGGCTGGAGAGAGCCATTCCCACACTCCCGCTGCCCAGTCGCTCGGGGCCCTGTTTCCATCAGGAAGTGCTCGAGAGTATAATGGACAGACTGCGACATGCGTGCATGTGTAGGAGAGTCCCGGCAGACTGCAGTCCACTGCCCCTTCCCATACAGGTCCTCAGGGGTCACAGCCAGCTGATCTCATCCAGCCCCCTCAGCCACATGGCATGCAGCTGCTCAGCCTTTCCATCCCAGCACTGCAGGGGGTGGGGGTGCTGTCCCGAGGAGACCGGCCTCTGTGCCAGGGCTTGGTCTGCAGGGACAGATATGGCCTGCTGTTCAGAAATGCTGACAGGCCCTAACACCAGCTGAAGTCCCTGGCAGCTGCAAACATTGCCAGCCCCTTGTTCCATCACATGCTGGTCCCAGGGTCTCTCTCAGGACGGTCCCCTCTCCCTTTTTGGATTGTACCATAAGCTCCGAGCCAAAGATCTGACCCCTAGGACTATCCCTTCTGTCTCCACGCTGTACCCTGTGCACTTATTATTCTTATTAAAGCCATTTTTTATACTAACTTCTCCCTGGGTGATTCTTCCCCACCCCCTGCAGTTCCCCACCCATTTATTCCTTCATGTTCTGCTTGAGGGGGCTTCTCCCACAGCCAGTGCCCCTCAAGTCCTAGCCAACCCCGCTTCCACCTCTCTACCTTGTTATTATCTGCACTTCCACTCCTAGGAAGACAGGATTTGCTCCTTGCTGTCAGACCACTGGACCATCCAGTCCAGTATCCTGCCTTCAGCTGTGGCTTACCCCATCCAAAAAAACTACCCATGCAGGGTGACAGGCCATGCTAGAGCTGGCCATGCTATAACCCAGGTAACCAGGTTTAAGCAGTGAGGTGCCAGGGTCCCTCCTTCCTCACTGGCTGCACCCATTCCCTAGCATGAGGGTCCTTCTTGACCCTGAAATATTGCTCTGGTTGCCCTTCTCATAGGCAGTGTGGCTACAGATGTGACCATCAACCATAAAACCATCCATCCTTTTAAAGGCAATCAGGACTCATAGTAGAGATGATATCTTTTATTAGACCAACAAGATTTTTGCAAAAAAATAAAAGATATCATCTCTACTACGAGTCCCAGCTGCCTTTTCCTCTAGACCAATACGGCTACAACCTGGATATCCAGCCTTTTAAAGCACTCAGCCCTAGCATTTGATCTGATGCACTCCCACAGCAGTGAGCCCCACAGGCAGATGATACATTTTATGGGGGGTTTGTTCTGCATTGAGCAGCCATTCATTTTCTCAGGCAAGCTCTCTCAGAGGCAGGAAGGAATGAGCAACATGTGCTTTTCCCCCTGTTGGAGTCTTTCTAAATAGCAATCCCTTCAGTGCTTCCTGGTTAAATTACTCTGACATTTGCCATTTTTCATCATCTGTAATTCCTGCTCAGCGCTCTAACCACAGGAATTGCCTGCCATTCAGAGCTCCATCTCGTCTAACCATCTAGAAACTGGCTCTTCCCAGAACCACTTCAAGGCTGGTGAGGAAGTCCCCCTCCACCATGTGGAAGTCTAGTCTCTTGTCTTCCCCATGACAGGACTCTTCCCAGTCCAGTGTTTTCAGGGATAGGGAAAAGATCATGCCCTGCTGGTCTCAAAGACTTGTCCCATTCCACAAGTCCTTCAGCTTCATCGTCCTGGATTTTTAAGAACATAACTAACCCATAAAGCTCCCAGTGAGTTTCTGCTGTTCTCTCTCTGGCATGTGTCACTTTTTTAACTAGAGTGGTTGTATAAGACATTAGGTAAATGATTGTTGCTATCAGGCCACCCACTGCCTACGTTGTGTGTGAAGGAGGCAAGGTGAAAGAAAGTTTGCTCCCCAGCTGTGCCCAAGGGCCCCCACCCCCCTCTGTTCTACTGTAAATGAGATAAGACAGGGGAAGGTCTCAGTAATGGACAACCTGGCTGGAATTTCCTGGCAGATAAGCCAGGCAGTGATAAGAGGCAGGATGAGCTTCCTTATTTCTTGCTGGCACACCACCTGTGCAGCTGCAACCCTGCCCCATACCTGTGCCTGGTGGTACCAGGGGAAGGGCAAACCATCTCTTACCCAGACAAATGATGAACAGCTGGTGGGGAAGGGTCAAGATCAATAATGGCTTCCCTGGTGGTACCATCACCGTGCTTTCCCTGCACTACTCATG